ATTGTAGAGATGAGGTCTCGCTGCCCAGGCGGGTCTCGAACCCGCGGGCTCAGGCAGTTCACTCACCTCAGCCTCCCAAAGGTACAGGATTACAGGCTGAGCCACCGAACCCGGCGTAGTGGGTTTTTTTGTTTGTTTTCAGTCGGAGTCTCACTCTGTCACCCAGGCTGGAGTGCAGTGGCATGCTCACAGCCACCTTGACCTCCACCTGCTGGGCTCGTGTGATCCTTTCGCCTCAGCCTTCCAAGTAGCTGGAACCACAGGCATAGGTCACCATGCCTGGCTGATTTTTTATTTACTGTAGAGATGAGATCTTGAGCTCAGGCAGTCCTCTCTCCTCTGCCTCCCAAAGTGCTGGGATTACAGGCATGAGCCACCGCACCCAGTCACATAAAATTCCCAGACTAGAATCTGTGTTTTTAAGAATCATCTCAGCTGATTCCAGTGGGAGACCAGTTTGAAAAACAATGATCTTCAGAATAAAATCCAAACTTATAGCATCCAAGAAACAACCTGTTATTCCAACTACCTGCAGACTTTTGAAAGAATGTGCCGCTCCTGCTTATGTCTACATGCCTTGTTGTGTGTCTCATGTCTCATGACCTCTCTGACACATTTGTCTGGTGAGCTTCTGCTCATTCAGCTAAAGTATTACTTCCTCTGTAAAGAAACATTTTCTGACTTCCTGCCAGCATCAGACCCTTGGATCCCCTCTGTACCTTGTATATTACTTCTCGTTTAAATGCTTATCTATCAAACTGTAATTAGTGGTGTTCTTGTCTGACTCCTCAGTAGGCTTGGGGTTCCCAGTGATCTGAGACCTCACCTTCTTCAAGATTATGTCCCCAGAGCATACCCCTGGATGTAAAAGCCTATTCACTGGAAGGTACCAGGGTTTCAAGAAATGTTTGAAACACTTATTGAATGAATGGAAGAACAGTTTATTGCAGGCCTGTGGTATGAAATGTTGTGTGATATGATAGGCAGGGTAGTTCCATCTAAGAGATCATGATCTAGTTGGATAACCAGGACATGTATAAATAAACCTCCCTCCATTGTAAGTTGAGAGTGTTTGTATTTTACTTTTTCCTGCCATGTGTGTTGGTTTTAGGCACATGACACAGGGCTTGGACATGTCTGGTGTTTTCATGGAAATGGTGAAGGCCAGTGCCACTGTAGATATTGTGCAAAAGAAGTTGGTTTATCTCTACATGTGCACGTATGCCCCTCTGAAACCAGATCTGGCTCTCCTGGCCATCAATACACTGTGCAAAGACTGCTCGGACCCCAACCCGATGGTACGTGGGCTGGCCCTGCGGAGCATGTGTAGCCTCAGGTGAGTACCTTCTTCCCTGACTGGTCCTCAGCAACTGGCAAATTCAGGAGATCATGGCGAATTCAAGAGTTCATGAGGGTAGTTTATTTGAGCTCCTTAATACTGGAGAAAACACTGTTGTACCCTGAACTCAGATATCCAGCCATCACTTTGGCTTCATAAACTGTATCATATGGTTTTATTAAAGGGAGTTTTCCATTCTTACTCTCAGTAAAATGATTCTCAGATTTGGTTAAAGAGTTCTAACTAATTATGTATCCTTTTTGCTGCCTGTGCAGCATTATTTCGAATAAAGTCAAATGATGCCTTTTTAAGTTTGGCAGCAGCTTTCTGCAGTTCGTCTTGCTCTGACAGATGCACATTCAGGCATCTGCTGAATCCCCTGTAAGTGAAGAGGGGCTGAATATGTCAGAACTAGTATTTCAGGATCTGGCTAACTCTGGGATGCACTGCTTAGGATGCCTGGTGTGCAGGAATATATCCAACAGCCTATTCTCAACGGTCTGCGGGATAAGGCTTCGTATGTCAGGAGGGTGGCAGTCCTTGGATGTGCCAAGATGCATAATCTTCATGGAGACTCTGAAGTGGGTAAGTTCAGTGTAATTCATCATGACAATATTTACCCTGTGCCTTCATTACGTGTGACCACATAAAAGATTATATGAGCCAGGCTCGGTGGCTCAGCCTGTAATCCCGCGCCTTTGGGAGGCTGAGGTGAGTGGATTGCCTGAGCCCGTGGGTTCGAGACCTGCCTGGGCAGCGAGACCTCATCTCTACAATAAATCAAAAATTAGCCAGGCATGGTAGCGCGCGCCTGTAGTTCTGGCTACTTGGAAGGCTGAGGAGGAAGGATCGCCGGAGCCCAGCAGGTCAAGGCTACGGTGGCCAGGAGTGGCCACTGCACTCCAGTCTGGACGACAGAGTGAGACTCCAACTCAAAAAAAAAAAAAAGATTATATGGCTTCAGTAAAAAATAATAATGTAGCCCCTGCTTCTGTACATATCTTTTTTTTTTTTGAGTCGGAGTCTCACTTTGTCACCCAGGCTGGAGTGCAGTGGCACGCTCATGCCCACCACAGCCTGCAGCAGGCCTTCCAAGGAGCTGGAACTACAGGTGCGCCCCACCATACCCAGCTAATTTTTTGATTTATTGTAGAGATGAGGTCTCACCAAGTTGCCCTGGCTGGTCTCGAACCCCTGAACTCAGGCAGTCCTCTTGCCTCTACCTCCTGAAATGCTGGGATTACAGGCGTGAGCCACCATGCCCAGCTTATACTTATCTCTTTAAGTAGGATACAGGGGTTGGCATTTTCTGAGATTACAGAAGTTCTTTCTTTGGGGCCCAGGTGAAATCCTTTGCATTTGCTACTTAGAACATTTTGGAGATAACAAGTTTGTTTGCCTTATACTTCATTATTGCCTTTGTCATTTTTGTGGCAGAGAAGTTTAGCTTTGTCTGCCTGGAGCTATTACTCGGGTTTTATCAGATTCTGAAGCTTCTCTTCTTTATCTGAGATCTTTGTACTTTTTTATAGATGGTGCCCTGGTAAATGAGTTATACAGTTTGCTGCGTGACCAGGATCCAATTGTGGTTGTGAACTGCCTGAGGTCACTAGAGGAAATTCTAAAGCAGGAGGGAGGCGTTGTCATCAATAAGCCCATCGCCCACCATCTCTTAAATCGGTGAGGATGCCTCAGTGCTCTTTTTATTATGAGATCTACATCCTTGTGGGATTGTGTTTATGTGTTAAGTTGAGGAGTCTTGAACAACTTCTGTAGGGTAAGGAAGAAAGTTACTATAATTATTAACTTTTTCACATTTCACTAAGGGAATTTTTTTTTTTTTTTTTGAGTTGGAGTCTCACTCTGTTGTCCAGGCTAGAGTGCAGTGACACAATCACAGTTTACCGTACCCTTAACCTCCTGGCTCAGGCAATTTTCCCATCTCAGTTTCCCAAGTAGCCGGGACTGTAGGCACATACCATTATGCCTAGCTAATTTTTTTTTGTAGAGACAAGGTCTTGCTGGGTTGTCTAGCTAGTCTCAAACTCCTGGGCTAAAGCAATCTTCCCACCTTGGCTTCCCAAAGTGCTAGGATTACAAGTGTGAGCCACCATGCCTGGCCAGAAATTTCTTTTATTTGTCTTAGTTTCTCTGGTTGATATAGAGAGGTAGTAGAAACATCCTGTGGGGACAGCTTCTACCCTCCTCTAGTCATGGTCTAGAGATCACAAATGGATCACCTAAACCATTTGTGATCTCTTAAAATATAGAGAATTTGGACTCAGTGTATACTGATCATGTCATTGGCGTTAAAAGAGTGTACATTTGTGTTGTCAAGTCATGCAGCCTCCTTTGTGTTAACTTGAACTAGTTCGTAACAAGAATGATTCAATTATAGCACAGCCTGTTTTTAAGAATTCTCCCTTTGTTATGGTAAACAGCCAAGAGATGATCATTTGGCAGCAGCGTGGAGACAGTCCTAATTTTGTTTCTAAAATTGCACTTTTGTTTTCTTTTTTGGATAGCATGTCCAAACTGGATCAGTGGGGCCAGGCTGAAGTGCTGAACTTCCTGCTGCGCTACCAGCCCCGCAGTGAGGAGGAGCTGTTCGACATTCTTAACCTGCTGGACAGCTTTCTCAAGAGTAACAGCCCGGGGGTGGTGATGGGAGCCACCAAACTTTTTCTGATCTTGGCAAAAAAGTTTCCCCACGTACAGACTGATGTGCTTGTGCGGGTCAAGGGGCCCTTGCTGGCTGCCTGTTCTTCAGAGAGCCGCGAGCTCTGCTTTGCTGCCCTCTGTCACGTGCGCCAGATCTTGCACAGTTTGCCAGGTCACTTCAGCAGCCACTACAAAAAGTTTTTTTGCTCCTACTCGGAGCCCCACTACATCAAGCTTCAGAAGGTGGAGGTGCTGTGTGATCTGGTGAACGATGAGAACGTACAGCAGGTGTTAGAGGAGCTTCGAGGGTACTGCACCGACGTGTCTGCTGACTTTGCCCAGGCTGCCATCTTTGCCATAGGTGGGTATCTGCTGCTTTTCCTTCTTGAGAATCTAGATTAGCCAGCTGGAAAGCTGTGGGCAGAGGAACCATACAGAGCAAAAGGGCATGAATATTGCTTCAGGGGCCAGATGTGGTGGCTCACACCTGTAATCCCAGCACTTTGGGAGGCCAAGGTGGGTGGATCGTTTGAGCCCAGGAGTTTGAGACCAGCCTGGGCAGCATAGCGAGACATCATCTCTACAAAAAAAATTTAAAAATTAGCCAGGTGTGGTGGTGTTGCACCTGTAGTTCTAGCTACTCAGGAGGCTGAGAAGGTAGGATAGCTTGAGCCCAGGAGTTCAAGGCTGTAAATGAGCTGTGATCATGCCACTGTACACCAGTCTGGACAACAGAGTGAGACACCGACTCAAAAAAGAAAAAAAAAATCGACCCAGGTGCAATCCCAACACTTTGGGAGGCCAAGGTGAGAGAATTGCCTGAGTCTACTGGTTCAAGACCAGCCTGGGCAACTTGACGAGACCTTGTCTCTATAATAAATCAAGAAAATTTAGCTGAGTGTGGTGGCATATACCTGTAGTTCCAGCAACTTGAAAGGCTGAGAAGGATCACCTGAGCCCAGCAGGTTGAGGCTGCCATGTCCATAAATGTGCCACTGCCCTCCAGACTGGGCGACAGAGTAAGACTGCAACTCAAAAAAAAAAGAAAAAGAAAATCTTGCTTCAGAGACAAAGTCCTATGTGCTGAAGAATCGGATCAGTGACTACAAGCAATAGGGAAGGGCGATTTTATATATTTATTTTCTTTTTTGTCAAGACTAGTGTTGCCATATCTTCCAGGACAGAGAATAAAGGTAACTCAAACTCTAATACTTGAAATTTTTGTTGTCTTCTATCCAAAATGTTCCAGTGTACATCCTCTTACCACAGTCTTATGAGGCAGGGAGGAAAAATAGACAAATGTTATTAACTTCATTTCAAAGATGAAGAGACCCAGGCATAAGAAAGGTGACCAGCCAGGCACTTTGGGAGGCCAGGGCAAGAGGATTGCGTGAGCCCAGGAGTTCGAGACCAGCTTGGACAACTTGGCAAGATCTTGTCTCTACAATAAATACAAAAATTAGCTAGCGGTGGTGGTGCACGCTTGTATTGTAGTTCCAGCTACTTGGAAGGCCGATGTGGAAGGATCACCTGAGCCCAACAGTTCAAGGCATGCCACTGCACTCCAGCCTGGGCAACAGAGTGAGCCTCCAAC